TTTCACTTTGAACAAATAGCAGAAGGAAGGAGGGCAGAACCAAATCCAAATTGCAGCATGGAGGGGACCTTAAAGCCTTCAATTTCTCTTTAGTCCTAATCTAGTTTATACCCTGCCCTTCCACTATTTGATTTAGAAAAAAACAGTATAAAATATGACATCAGGTCTAGTCTGATTCTAAATCTGGTTTTCTGTTCAACATATTATATGGGCTCACTTGTTGTACACTATTCAGAGCAAAGGTGTAAATCTCACACAATTTACAGGCAGCTTTAAGAAAAGTCACTGATTATTAGATATATAGTAGAAGCACCCACATCACTCACAATGCTGTATTTAGTTTTATTAAAAGTTATTCTAAAATCTAACTTAAAGAGAAAGATGAAGTTTATATTTATTTTTTCTAAGGTATATTCAGTTTTACTATTGTAATAAGAAGAAACATATTCAATAGAGTGTGCTTCAATAGATGAAGAAAAATCTGTTGTCTCAGCAGGAAATTGTGTGGGTGTGAGAGAGGAGAGAAAGAGAAAGAAAGAAAGAAAGGGAGAGAGAGGAAGGAACGAAGAAAGGAAGGGGTATTTGTAGTAATTATTGGGCACATTTACTCAAAAATGAATCGGAATGCAAATATCAGGTGATCTTGCATTTATAAATCAGAAAATAAGCCCCAATGAAACCAATGCTTTGATGATAGAGAAGACTGTACTGTTCATCACAGTTATGATTCTGACCATAAGGAGATTTGCTGAGGTGATGCTTTTTCTTTTCTAGGCTCAGGTTAAGTGTTTTTAATATAGAATATACTACCTGGAATTCACATACCTTCCCATGAAACTGTATCGATGTTGTGTTTATAGATTTTTCTTCATTCCACTGTGTATTCTGCTCCTAAATGGTGGTGAACAATATAAAGAAATTTGGGGTCTCTTTAGGTTCACCACTCTCAAGACTCATAGCAGAAACTGTAATAGAGCATCTAGAAACTTCCACACATGCAACCAAAAGTGGGGATCAGGTATGTAGACAACACCTTTGTCATAATAAAAAAGAATTAGAGAAGGTAGGTAAAACATCTTCAAAGGATTAAAATTCACGAGAGGAAAAAACAAGAAGACTCTATCCGTCTTCCTGGATATCCTCATCAGCAAAGGAAACAATGGCAAATTAAAAATGCAAACCTATTGAAAAACAATCTACACTAACCAAGTGCTCCATTATTAAAGTAATAATCCAACCTCCCATAAAAGGAGCTATTTAAGAATATTATTCAGACAAGCACAAATGTACTGTAGCAACCTAAAACAAAGAAAAAGGCTATGCGAAGCACTGTGTTTTCCCAATCAGATCTATCTACATGACCCACTAGAGTGGGGAGACAAGGAATGTTATGAGTACTTTCTCCTAAGGTGGCACATATCATTCATTGGCATCATCATTGGCATCCTTCAGTCTCAAGAGACTGTGGTATCGTGATCTGAAAAGAGGTCCTAAAACAGCATCTAGTGTGGCTAAAAAGGCCAATTCAAGAGTGGCAATCCCTTCCACATTAAGGACAGATACAGTCTGTCTCCTGTCCAGCTCCTGGATTTCGCTGGTTCCGGGACTGACTCTTTGCCTCAGCCTGCCGAGCCAGTATCTCTTTGAATTGAAGAAGGCCATGCTGCGTCTTTAGCCTCCAAGCTGAACAATCAGAGGTCAAGGTTTCCCAGCTGTTGATGTTCAATCCCAAGGCCTTTAGATCCCTCTTGCAGATGTCCTTTTATCGCAGTTGTGATCTCCCTCCAGGGAGCTTTCCCTGCACTAATTCTCCATACAGGAGGTCTTTTGGAATCCGACCAAAAAGAAGGGTCTTCTCCATGGTGACTCCCTCTCTATAGAACATCATGCCTGTAGACATAAGATTGGCCCTTACTTGACACACTTTTGCAAGGCCCTGAAGACATTATTTTGCCAATGGAGCCCATAAAGTGGTTGGTCTGACAGTTGTTGGTGGGGGAGTGGGAGTTTATTGGTTTTTGTATTGGATTTTATCTTTGTAAGCCACCTGGAGTCACTGAGTGTGGGTTGGGCAGCCATATACATTTTATTAAAAAATAAATGTAAATAAACCTCCTATAAAACATCTTCCAACAAAAATGGATATTCACACTTTATCAAAAGCTGCCGAACCACTTAACCCACCAGAGCACAACCAAATTAAACTATGAAAATAACATTGCTACAAATCAAAAACATCTCAGAGAATACATGCTATTATAACCACACAGCATCATCATAGCACACAAACCAACCAAAGCCCTCCAAATTACCTTAAGTAAACCAAAAGACCCAGAAGCCAAAAAGAGTCATCTGCAACATGCAGTGTAAGGGCCAAAATATCCACTGTGTAGGATAGTCAGGCAGAAGACTAGCAGAGCATTTCTATGGACATCAACTAGGTAGGAGTTGAACTAAGACAGGATGAAAACTCCTTAATCACAACATATGTACAGATTCAACCACAAGTTCAACCGGGAAGCAGTGAGCATCTTACATTAAGCTAAATCCAAAAGGCTAGGGAACTCCTGGAAGCTTGCCCTTCAGCCATCAATAGACCTATAGAAATAAATCATTTATACAATGTTCAAAAGGAACAAAACAAGCTAAGAAAGAAACAAAAAGACCACAACATAGCAGCCAATGCATAGATTGAGTGGAGATTAGCACCAGATAAACAATCAAGCAGAGAAGTATACCCTTATAAAGAAACCACCAAGGAGAGACCACATCCCCACCAATACTGACAGGGCGAGTTACTACATAGAAACAGACAGTAAACCCCATACTCCATAGTAGGAGTCCCCAGTGGCTGGAGAATTCTGGGAGTTGCCACAAGTCTTAAAATCAGGGGTGGGATTCTACTGGTTCAGATCGGTTCTATAGAAGAAATTGTTATGATTCTGTGCAGTTTGAAGAACCAGCAAATTGTGCCCCTGGCTGGCCCCTCTCATCCCCTCCCTGCCCAGTGAGTCCTTATCTCACATGTGCAACATTGCGTGCATGCCCGACATCACTGACTGCGTTCTTCCCTGCCCAGTCACTCCTTAAGGTATTTCTTCCCCCCCCCTTCCGACGATCAGCTGTTCCTATGATCAGCTATGCCAGGATTCTCACTTACTACTTCACCCAGGAGGCTCCCGAGGCCCACGAAGGCAAAAAATGGAGGGGGGGGCTCCATTTTTTTTCCTTCCTGGGCCCCAGGGAAGCTTCCTGGGAGCAAAAATGCCCACCTAGAGGCTTCCAAGGCCCAGAAGGCCCCAAAATGGAGCGCGCGTGTGTGTGTGTGCTACGTGCCTCCTCCAGGCTCCATTTTTTTCTTCCTGGGCCCCAGGAGGCCACAAAACGGAGCATGGGGGGGGTTCTGTGCGCCCCCCTCTAGGTTCCATTTTTTTTCTTCCTAAGCCCCAGGGAAGCCTTCTGGGAGCAAAAATGCCCCCCAGGAGGCCCAAAAAACAGGAGGGGGGTGCTGCAAAAAAACCACACCCACCCAGTCAAATGAAAATTTCCACCTAGCCATGCCCACAGAACCAGTTGTTACAAAATTTGAATCCCACTCCTGCTTAAAGTTGCCAAGTTTGGAGACTTCAGCTCCACAGCATTGATGTTATTATCTAATTGGGTAATGAAATGTCTACAATCAAACAATTAAGTTCAGAAAGCATCAAAGAATCATGAGAAATTTGAATCAGTTTGTCAGTGCTTTAAGACTTGCAGTGCTAGCATTTTTGCTAACTGCACAAATTTTGAAATGAAGTCATACTGGAATCATGGGCTGTATTTACTTACTGAGTTAATTTGTTGCACAATAAGACTTTCTGAGTGTAAATCGGATATTCAATAATATATAATAAAAATAAAACATTCCTTAATTCTTTAAAGAAATAAATTCAGGTAGGTTTTCCCCTGATTTCAATGGGATATAAGAGAGGGAAAGTAAAGAACCAAATTTTATATACATTTGCCCCAACGTTTCAATAACTTTAAAGAGCAAGTTGTACTATATATCTCAAGCATATTTAGAAACAAATCTCCCTAAAATAAATGAATATTATTTTTAACAAAATCGTAAACATATTCGTTTGATTCTATGCTTTGTGCAGAGATGAAAATTTCTGATCTGAAAATCTAGGACTGAATAAAAAAGTTGATTTGCGCAAGAGATGTTTTTGATACAAGTTTCTTCATGGATTGCTTAAACAGTAGCGCATAATAGTTTGTAATATGTTTACATTGGTATTTTAGTCTTACAAGAAGTTCTTGCATCTCTTTATGTTCACACATGAAGATTTTTCTTTCTTATCCTTACAGATGAGACCATTTTTAACATAAAGGGTATTTTAAACATTTAATGATTACAGTTTGTGAGATCATCGATGGGAACAAAGATATCCAAAGAACAGTTCTATTTTCTAGCCAGTATTCTTTTCTAGTTCCACTTTATAATGAAATAATAGCATAAGAAAAAAAACTTGCTCACAATCAATATATCTGACAATTTCTCATTAGCCTACATACAGAAATCTATTTACATCAGGCAAAAAATACCACAAATTGGGTTTGAAAATTAGGAAGCAAATACTTAAAATGATCAAAATGTTTTATTTATACAGCAAAATCAACTCAAATATGGCTTGAAACTATCAGGACTGCTTCATATTAGGTTCTCATTTGGGTAATAATATTTCAAGTGATTAGGATTAGTATAACCTAGGTTTTTCTCAAAGTGGTCCATAGTGAACCCCAAGAGGTGATAGGACAATCCAACATTATTACATGTTTGGAGGGTGCATAAACGATCTGAAACGTCACGAAGAGGTTGGCGAACTGAAGAGTTTGAGGAGCTGTGGATCCAAACCTTTTCTTTTCATGTAAATTGAAATCTCTGATTTAGTCGCTCAGACCAGTTTTTGCATTGACTTAGGGGGAAAAAAAGCAGGGCCTTCACGTCCAATACTAACCTCACTAGATCAGTCATACAGGATCCCACCACGACGATTTCTGCCACTACCATGCTAAGAACGGAGCAAGGAGCCACTTACAAGAAACCTCTTTTTTTCCTCCACCACGTGACCTTTAACCTGCCTTTCCTCCAGCCGTTCTCAGCACTATCCGCCTGTTATTCCTTTACCAATCCGCTTTACGTGTGGAATCCTTCACGTTTCTATTAGGCTACCCCTTTAAAACGCCTGATCACGTTTTTTAACCACGTTTTCACGCTAATTCGCGCCTACAGAAGCTTGCCGTACCATCACCCCTCGCCGTTTATAAAAACCGTATTCAGTCAGGCGCGCGCAAGACCACCTATATTCATTACGAAAGGCCCCCCTTTCCTCCGGTTTTCGAGGAGGGGCCGGGCAAAAGGGCTCGAGTGTCTCGTGCAGGCGGCTGGCGGCGCGCACGTAACGTCCTGTAGCGTGCCAGGCTTTACGTGGGCGGATCCGCGCAGGCGCCCGAGGCGCGAGGGAGAGGCGAGCGGCCGGCGCAGTTTCGGGGTTTGTAAGCGCTTCTTCTGATCGTTGTAAGCCTCGGTTGGTGGTTGAGGGAGGCCGGAGGAAACCGAGCCCGGTTCAAGGCGGGCTGGGTGGCTGTGTCACCTGCTCTTTCCTGTGTGCCCGTTCTTCCTTGCTGTGGGACTCAGCGTCAAGTGTAGGAGTTCCTGCGGTGGAAATCGGAGCTTTCACTACCACCACCACCACCGCTTTTTTTAACCGGGTGCATAAAGCATTGATATTTATGCTCTTCCAAGCATTGATATTTATGCTCTTGTTCTTCGGCGGAGTAGTGCTCGGAATGATTGCTCCGTTACCATTGGCGAAACTCACCAAACCGAAAGCCTAACATTTTGCAGATGTTTATTAAGGTTGAGCCCTTGTATCTTTCATGTTTGCTATAGGCAAAGGTGTAACTTGATCGTCAGTTATTAATGGATAAATCTGGAAGCCAGGCTGCATCTTGTTTGATATTCATAAGGGAGAATGTAGCCACTAGGAGTCAAAGACAACTTGTTGGCACATAATCATATATTATACTTTTATGTATTTAGATGTTTAAGTTGACAAATGTCACTCCATTCCCCCCCCCCTTTTTTCCCCCTCCCAGAACAGCAACTCTGAGAATTTGCTTGGGCTGAAGGATGCTCCTGAACTTCAGGATCATTTAATCCAATCAGAGGTTTTGCTTTTCAAGAAAATTCTTCCAGGAGATTCTGTTCACGATATCCCAGTTGCAAGATAATGGGGAAGGCTCCATATTGTGGAAGAGCCTCAAGAAACTAGGCTCCCCTCCCCTCAGTGATGGCCTTCTAGAAAGTAATGAAAACTAACCACTTCCCGAGGATCTTTTAGGAAATATTGTGTATTGCCTGGCTTGTTAGCTAATTTATTTATTAGCTATATATCTTTCACTTTATACAGGAACATACATAGTGTTGCCCATAACAGCAGCCCTGTGAAGTAAATTGGTATGAAATGTTATAATGGATCCAAAGTTGGCCCGTGAGCTTCCATGGCTGAAGGTAGATTAGAACCTGCTCTTAGTTCAACACCACAATGGCTCTCTAATTTTTAGTATTAGGTTGCTATTAGGCTTTGGATCAATTTTGCGAAGTTACCTTGATCATTTTAACTGTGTTTTTATATTGTCATGCATCTAAACAAATTTCTATTAATTATGGTAAATTAAATTAATCATTTAATTAAAGGAATACCCTCCAGAAAGCTTTTATGGATGTGGATGGATTTGAATCTGGATTTCCATTTTCAGAGGCCTCAGTTGTAATCCTCCATCTGTATGCATTCAGTCTTCATTTTTAGAATTAGGTTGCTTATTGGCTTTGGAATACTTGAAAAATATATTTTTTTGTGCAATAATGTTACTTAAGCATGAAATCTATCTTCTAATGGATAGTGGGAATCTATTTTCTAATAAAGAGACATGGTTGGATATTGGTTCCTCCTCCTAAATAAAATACCCTTTATTCAACTTACAGCTGATAGCTCAGAATTTTGTGGTGCTGTCATCAAAATATTCAGATTAAAATTAGTGTTTCAAAATCAGCCAAGAACAAGTAGATTCTTCCTGTCCAATTTCTAAATCTCTCCTGGATTAGTAAAATTATTATAGGGCATTTCTAAGGGTGGCATGGTGAGGATGGGATAGAAAAAGCCAGAGCTGTGAGCATTCTGGGCAAAAATATACAAAACACAAAGATAATGGATAAATTTGGTATTCAACATTCAATAACTTATTATTATACATCAGTATTAGAAAGGAATCCTTAATAAGGCATGAGTCAACTTTAGCAGTAGTCTTTAACTTACAATCTATCGTTTGGCAAATATTTAATGTTACAGTGGACCATCACAGAGCTACCTATGACCCAGTTTCTAAGTTCTGACCACCACCCTCCCAGTCACATAATCACATTTTGAGCACTTGGCAACCAGTCCACATTTATGGCCATTTGCAGTACACCAGGGTCACATGACTGATTTATGACTTTTTTCCCCAAAAAACCGGAGTTTACTTTAAATTCCTGGCAAAAAACCCCCTCTCATTAGGTACAATAGGTTCACTTAACAATCACTACAAAAAGGTCAAAATTAACCACGGTCATATGGGAATCCACTTAAACATCAGCACAACTTAGAACTGTAACATTGGGCTCAATTACGGTCATAAGTCGAAGTCTACCTGTCTGTAGATTGACTAAAGTTTTTTTTTTTAAATAAAATTAAAGGTATGTTCAAGAACATTAGGTCCTGGGAATCACATGAAAATAATATAGCATAGTGGGATGTAAACAGTGGGATGTAAAATGTTTTTCAATAAATGAGAGCCAACAACTATCTACTTAACATGTCTTTTTATTCATGTGCATATAATTAATAAGCTACCTATAATATTTCATATGGCCCCATATATAACATTTTTATAAAAGAAAGAACATGATAAATTTGCTGTTTATTATATCCCATTTTTGTAATTTTATTTGAATAATTAGAATGCAACATAACCCATATCAAATATAATATGACTTCTAATATTTAAGCTTTCTCTTTTGTCAAGTTGAATAATGGGCAAAATCGAGCCATTCTAAATGTGCAGGTGATTGTTGAGTTTACTATAAGATAAATTTGAAACTGTTTAAAGTTTAGTGCTGAAATTGTATTTACTTTATTGAACACATTTTTATAGCTTGAACAATTTGCAATATGCTGAACCATCCATATATTTTGTAACATTTGATCTTGGCAAGCAACAAGCCTGGGAAGTTTAATAAGCTAGTAGCAAATTGTGCTCAGATTTGAAGTTCACAAGTTGCACTGTCCATCAGAATTAACTAATGGACAAACTGAGCAAACCATGTGTATGAATGTGTATTTGTCAGCCCCCATCTATCTTGAATCAGATTTGGGACTGCCACAAGGGAGGATGGGTAACCGTGGGAATGGAAGTAAAGTGAGAAGGGAGGATAGCCACAACAACATTCTTTCACCAGAGCTCAAGGCTGAGTCGCTGGAGGGAAATGACTGGATTTGGCGGGAGTTCAGAATGGAGGTGGATTGGACAGTGTGACTTGAGGGTCATCAGAAAAGGCCTGGGTGTGAGTTTAATATAGCAGGTGAAAACACGGGAATTAAGATTTGGGTTTTCTCAGATGTGCCAATATGACTTCTCTAATAAATTCTTACTTGGATGGACTCTGTCTCTGAGTGCTGAAATTGAGATGGAGAGTTTGGTTGGAATGCTGACAGTGTTTTAAAGAGACCATGTAGGGTATATTTAGGTGAATGTTTGTCCAAACATCCTTTTTGTCTTTTTAAATGGCTTTGCTCCTTGTTTAGTGCAGTCTTCCATAAATTTTCTGCTTTTTTCTCTCTTTACTTTAGTTTTTTTGCCTTTATCCTTTTTTCCACTGTGTCTATTTGTGAGGTCTTTCAAATTCTTAAAATGTGACAATATATAGAAATGGAATTGCTCTGTTTTGCTTTCTCTTATTTTCTTTACAGAGGCGAATATAACTTACAAATAATATGTCTCCTGAAGTTGCCTTAAACAGAATTTCTCCATCACTTTCTCCTTTGATCTCCAATGTGGTCAGAAATGGAAAAGTAGGATTGGATGCAACTAACTGTTTAAGGATTACTGATCTGAAATCTGGGTAAGCTATCTTGTAATAAATTCAAGTTACGACCTTGTGATGTTATTCTGAGGACTGTTTTTCAAATATCTTTAAGCACTTTTAACATTTTTCATTTGTTTGGAAAAATGAAGCTCTTTCTGATCTATTTTTCATATTTGCAAAGATTTCCTGGTTTGTGCAGAACACTTAAGAGTGAAATTAGTTTTCATCAGTCATTCCAAGTATTTTATTTTTTCACAAGCCCAAAATGTTGAATATATTGTCTCGGTATCATGTTCTACTTTCTCACTAGAATAAAATCGGAATTATATTGGGTGACTAGTTGTTTTAATATAGGGTGAATACTTTCTCAAAGCTTGTCTGGCGGCCCACCTACCTACCTGCCTACCTACCTCTCTGAACTCCTGCTGGTGTACACATCAAATGATTCTCCCATTTTTCTGCATAGCAATAACCTTGTGAAGTATGTTGGGCTGAAAGAAAATGAAAAGTTGAAAGTTACCCATTCAGTGAACTTCCATAGCTGAAGGGAAGCTTGAATTTGATTTCTCTAGTGCTGATCCATTGCCTTATTCTATATATCATATTAAAACTGATTTGTATAGACCTCTGCAGATGCTCTGATTTGGTCATATTCCAAATGTCATATGCTACTTAACTCAAATTGCACTCTCAGTTTGTGATTAGCATAGTTTTGCATGTGTTATTTGAGTACGAATTGATAAACTGATTAAAGCCTCATATGCTTGCTTTGGCATATAGCTAGAGCAAAATGGAGACTATCCAACCAAGGTCATACCAGGCACGTAGAATGATGGGACTGAGTCCCAAAATTGAGAGTAAATTCTTAGATACTTACGATCCACTTATTACATAATCTTGATGTTTTAATTAAGTGGGAAGTAAAATTATTCTTTTTGATTCTATAAAGGTTTGTGGAGCATGGTTAATAGCACTTATAAACAAATTGGAAGAGTTTCTATTGTTAGGTGTTCCTATTTAAAGGTATACCTGTGTTAATGGCTATGCAAGCATCTCCCAAATTTTATAGTTTGTGGAAAGTTTGCAGGCCATTTGCAGTTACATGGTCAAGAGTTTGAGAAAATGGTGGAAAAGCGCTGGTGATGAGTATTTCTTCGTGAATAAGTACAGTACCTTTCAGCTATGACTTCTGCTGTCTTCCCTTAGTTGGTTTTACAAAGGAGAAGAAACTGAATTGTTGGATGTGATCGATTAAAGGCTTATCTGGTCACTAGAACTGAACATTTCACATTTGCCTTTGTTCATCCAAAATAGAAAAGGCAAATGTTGGTGGTATTCTTGATTTGGGTCATGGCTCAGACTTTTTCCAGAAAATTTATAAAGTCCAAATAGTTTGCTTTGACCAAGAAATGATCAAAAGTGAGGTTAGTGCAGGGGTGGGATTCAAAATTCCCAGCAACCGGTTCGCTGCCTGGTTGCTGGGTGGGCATAGCCATGGTGGGCGTGATCTACTGCAACTTCCAGGAGGGACGTTTTTCGCCTTCCCCTAGGGCCTCTGGGGGGGTGAAAATGACCTCCCCCAGGGTCCGGACACCGTCTAGAAGCTGGAAACAAGCCCATTTCCAGACTTCTGGAATGCCCATTTTTCACCCCCCCACCAGAGCCTCTGCGCAGACCTTGCACCTACCTGCATCCAAAATGGGTCACTTGGAGATCCCGGGGAGGGGAGAGGTGGGGTGGGCAGGGCCAGCTGGTCGGTTCAACAACTGGTTCGGTGTACCAGATGCAAATTTAACATCCGGTTCGCTCGAACTGGTCCGAACCAGCTGAATCCCACCCCTGGGTGAGTGATATATGAGATGAGTAAAGGCAGGTCTTCTCTGTGATGAATATTTATGCTGTTTTTCCTGCATAGAAGGAGTGCAACATTTTGTCTCTTGATTCTTTCAGTAGAATTGGGAAAAAACCCAATGTGTAACTATAGAGAGCAGTTTTCAGTCAATCTTCAGAATGAATAGCAGTTTCCAATAGTCATTAATATTGTTTTCCACCTGAATAAAATTTGAAACCTAAATGGGGTAGTAGTTGTAACTTGGTTCACATGATTGGTGATTGATGGACTGTCCATAAACTGTACTGTAATACAAGTAGTCCTTGATTTATGGCCAAAACTGAGACCAGAATTGCCATTGTTAAGCAAGGCACATTTAAATGAGTTGTGCCCAATTTTATGATCTTTTTTTGTCTTGGTTGTTAAACAAATAAATTAATTAAATTAATCACAAAGTCATTAACTTCTCGGTTGATTTTACTTATTGAAGGAAGGTCACAATGCTAATTGCATAACCCTGGAATCAGGGGTGGGATTCTACAGGTTCGCACCTATTTGCTAGAACCGGTTGTTAACATTCTAAGCAGTTTGGAGAACTGGTTGTTAGAAGAAATTACTGGCCTAATCCTGTAAGGAAGGCAACATTCTGGTGTTGCTTACAGAAACTGCCTCTCCAATAATTCTTATTACATTCTTGGCAGGACTAGACTTCCTGTCTCAGGAACTTCTCTGGAGTCTTTTTTTCCTCTTTTGCTGGTACTTGGCTTGTGTGGAGTGACCATTCAAAGTTACAATGGCACTGAAAAAAGTGATTTATGACTGTTTTTCACACTTACGACAGTTGCAGCATCCCCACAGTCATGAGAGGCCAGGTGAGGAGATGCGTGCCTCGATGTGAGTGATGTTGAGCTGGCCATGCCCAGCCAGTCATATGACAACCAAGCCATGCCCACTAACTAAGCCACGCCCACAGAACCGGTTGTTAAAAAATTTGAATCCCACCCCTGCCTGGAATTCTTTAACCATTATATATAAATGCCAGTTTTCAAGTGCCTGAAGTTTGTTTGTGTGACTGGGGATTCTGTAACAGCCATGAGACGAGTCGTAGGTTATTTTTTTCAGTACCATTATAACTTTGAACAGTCACTAAATGAATGGTTGTAATTGCTTCCGCTGAAAAACTAGAGGTAAAACTAAAAGTAACTGTCACTGCTGTGAAATAATATGAGCAATATGAAACAATTATGCTACAAATAATATTTCTATAATAAAAAACAATGCTCTCAAGCACATTTACTATGTTAGCTTTAGTTCATATAGTATAAGAAGGAGTCATGAAACTTACAGTTTGCCTATTGTATCGATTGTGGGCAGCCAAATTGGGTAACGTGGGTAAAAAAGGAGCACAATATAGAGTCAATTTGATACATTCATAGGAAGAACAAAGGTTAAAAGTATTAAATTCAGAAAGTAAACCAATATCCAGGAAAAATAAAGATCTTAATATTAACATATAGGCATTTAGAATTTCTAAAAATGAGCAAATATGTTTTAACTCTAGGTTCCATTATTGAAAGAGTTATTTTTTTGGATAATGATCCAGAATGCTTTATTGAGGTATTTCTCTTCTAGAAAATCTTTACATATAGAAATCATTCTTTAGACATCTTTACTGCTTATGACTTTAAAGATAAAGAATCTCTTATTTGAACTGCTTTGGAAATGAACTGGAAACTTGTAAATAATATTGATGAATTACTGTCAAGGAATTTTGTCCTTGCTCTTTTTGTGGTAAATAAAAGCTTGATAATTCTTGAGACAGTTTTTAATGTGCTGTATATAACCAGAAATGTAATAAATAAATACTTTATATATTACATACTTCTTGGCATATGAATGCTAAAATTACCCCATTATTAATATTTTTCCTTATTCTTGGAACTTTTTGTAGCACCTTGCAGGTATTTGGATAATTTTTCAGAGGTGGGTCTTTCATTGTTCAGATAATAGCTATTTTTCAAATCTCCTGTGAAGCTTCCTCAAACCGAATTTATTGGGTGAAATGCAACTGCATGTGCTGTCAGCTTTCACTTTACAGAAGTAAAATATTTTAAAAAGCAGACTTTTAACAGCCTTGAAAAATACTTGGCGTTGCTTTCAAGATTGCTGTTATTAAATATCTCTTTTATTACAATAACAGATACATCCTTTTCCATTTGATTTTGAGCAGTAGATAAAAAGGAAATATACTTGCAAAATCTGAAAAAAAATTTACATTAAAAAGTCTCCTTGGATTCTTATAGACACCTAGTGTGATGTAATGGTTTAGGTGCTGGGCTAGGATTGGGGAAACAGAAGTTTTAGTCCTTCTTTAGACACATGGACAATCTTGAAGCAATCAGTTCATCTTAGCCTTAATCACTGTCAGACTCTGTGAAAAGTTAGCTGAACAACAAAACACCTTGGCACAACATACATTGATGGCTTTTCTGTGTGAAATAGACATTTGGCCCTGCCAAATGTCATAGAAAGACATAGAAATGCTATCAATAATTTGGATTTACCGTATGTCGCATGGTCAAAATTATATGTAAAAAATGAAATATTAATAGGTAATATTTGTTATTGTTAGGAAGGATGTTAGGATTCATCAGAATGTAGCCTAAAGCAAGAAAAATTGATGTAAAATCTGATGTCTTCTATCAGCTTGAGTGCACAATAGAAATAATTTTGTTGACTAAAACCTAAAAGTGAAATTTTCTATTGGGTATGCTCAGAGGCTTCTGTTGCAGCACTGCAGCATTAATTTTAGGTCTTTCCTCTTAGTTTATAAAGCAGAATTCTTAGAATGGTCTCATAAAAATGAACTTTCTTTGTTCAATAAGGGAAAAATGTAGGATTGCTGTCTTAGTGACCAATGAAAGAGAGTAGGCTAATGAAGGTTAACTTGGATTATAGAGGCACCTTCTGTATAAAAGTAGAAAAATTGATATGAGTACATTTTAAAGGTTGTTACTAACAGAATAATTAACTTTAAAGCCTTAGGTTTCATATTCACATTGGGTAATATTCTGTTCTTGGGTTGTTGTTTTTTTAAACTTTGTATACAGTAAATCCACTATTCCACCTCCATGTCACTCCTCAATCTATACATGGTTCCCAAAAGCCTACGTGGGACAGTCGCAGTGTAGGTGCTACAAAAAAAAAGAGACTTTTACATTAACAAATGTATCAAGTGAGCTAGATGATTAACCGTTAAAACATTTTATTTTTAAAAAATGTCAAAATGAAAGCTTATCACCAATGTTTTATTAATGGGGTATTACTATTTACAAAAAAAAAAATGCCTAACAAATCTATATTTAGAATCCCAGTAACATTTGCTTGGATATTTTGAGAGTTCAAGCACAAAGACAAAACAAACCTGTCTAACAACTTTACAAAGTAATGAGACTTATTTGAGCTAGTGTATGTTGCTATTGTTGTAAAATCTAAAATAATAGAATGATGATAAATGTAATAATAAATGAAAATATATGCATTGTTGTAGAGCGTGAAATAAATAAAAATATAGTATGTGGAGTAGTTTGCCTGTTTGCAGTTTGTGGGGTTATGGAGAACATTTGAAAGAGATGCGTTGTGAAATAAATGAACTTCCTCAAGTATTAAAACAGCTGCATCCTCTGGAATGGCCAGCATCACTTCTTTAAATGATCTCTAACTGTATGCATTGTGAGTGTGCTTGCCTTGCCAATCCTGCCAGAAATTTTGACGGTGCATATACTAGAAATGGAGAAATCTTTGTGGAGCGGCTGTAATTGCAGTTACTTGAGTACTTTTGAGCATTTGGGCTCATCCTATTATATTTTGCTTTGCACAACTTGCCAACTTGTACCCCCACCTTTTCATCCCCCCAAACATGTAACATATGTAATAGTAGGAAACATTTAAAAACACAGTTAAAGTTCTTAATGTATGGTACTTTGTATAGCTAATTTTATGTAACTACAATATGAGTAGCACCTATTGCCTTCATCAACACTCAGATTAGTATTTATTTTTTTTATTGTAGTTGCACCTCATTAACTCTTGGACCCAGCTGTGATCGATTTAAGTTGCATATTCCATATGCTGGAGAAACTTTAAAATGTAAGTACTTAGTACCTTAAAATAATCTGCAGACCTTTACTGGCTTTTTGATTCTGTAGCTAAACTAATAATTTCTGTTATTTAGGTCTTTTCTGATTTTTCTCTTCTGTAGAACCCATTCCTTATAGAAAGTTGTCTGATGTCTGCTCTATATTCCATCAAATAAATATCTTTTTATTTACTTAATTTTTTATTTTGTTAGTAATATTTTTAGTCATTTCTGCTGATATTATTCCTTTTCTTTTAACATTTGTGTTCAAGTAGTCACCATTCATCACATACAAAGGTCTAACCAGCTTTAATCTAAGGCCAAGTAAGTACTGGGACATCATTGCAGTTTCACCTTCTAATTCCTTATAAAAATGCAAATCTTCACTTTGGCAGGAAATGGCACCATCAATTAATGTGACTTAGGGGTGCCATGTAACCTAGAGTTGGCAACTCAGTGCAGGAATGCCTTGTGGAAAGAAACCGACTTAGCAGTCAGAGGAAAGAGACTGTCTAGAGTTAAAAGGGATCAGTGGCCAAGATATGGATTGAAGCAGATTATTCATGCGGATTAAAACAAACAGATAAAAGTATTGTGAAGAATTTTAAATCATTGTTATAAGCAGAATGAACAGGCAGATAAACTGCAAATGTGTTACTGCAATCAAATGTAGAATGAGAAGGTTCAGTAATTCTGATTTTACATAGGTGCTGCCTAATTAGGAAAAGCTTTTTAGGTTCTGACTCATTGAAAATATATCAAATGGTAGATAAGGCCTTTTCACACAACTCATAGTTAGAATGGGAAGCTGCCAATTTACACAACTTTAAAAGGGGGATTAAGGGGGAAACTGTTCATTTTAAACAGCAATTTTGCTGGGACAGGAGGTTAAGGAAGGAGCTGCAAGGTCAGTTCTTTGCCTCTGTTATTCTATTTGAGAGAAATTAAAACTTATTTCTGCTCTCTCATTCATACTGTCAGTTTAGCTTTGTTGTAGCATTAGCAATTGAGACTGAAAAAAATCTTTGAACTTTCTGGCTGGTCACAAAATCATACTAAGTTCTTAGAGTATACTTTGTTTATAATTCATTTTATCTTAGCATGTGATGTGAACACAGAAATTTATTGAGGAAGGCATGCTTGTTCTCTAGTCCCTTGACTTTGTTTTCAAAGAGGGAAATTATCAATATATTTATTTTTAATAAAGCTATCCCTGTTTCTTATTTCCATTTCCATTCCAATGGGATACTTTCCAATGGAAAGTATCTTCTTTTATCATTTGATAAAAGTTTATCACTTATATTCATAGACATGCGTCAGCCTGATAATAAAATTAAGAAAATTTAATTAAGGCATTAGGAGAAAACAAATAGGAAAATAGTGAATTACCCATAAACTATAAGCATAACTCATTGAATCAGTGGTGAAGGTATCTAATGCGGCATGGCATCTTTCATGTACTGGTGAAACTTGAAAAATTAGAATATCGTGCAAAAGTTCATTTATTTCAGTAATGCAACTTAAAAGGTGAACCTAATATATGAGGTAGATTCATTACATTCAAAGCAAGATAGTGCAAGCTATGATGTGTCATAATTGAGATGATTATGGCTTACAGCTCATGAAAACCCCAAATCCACAATCTCAGAAAATTAGAATATTGTGAAAAGGTTCAATACTCTAGGCTCAAATTGTCCCACTCTAATCAGCTAATTAAGCCATAACATCTGCAAAGGGTTCCTGAGCCTTTAAATGGTCTCTGAGTCTGGTTCAGTAGGAATCACAATCATGGGAAAGACTGCTGACCTGATAGTTGTGCAGAAAACCATCATTGACACCCTCCATAAGGAGGGAAAGCCTCAAAAGGTAATTGCAGAAGAAATTGGATGTTCCCAAAGTGCTGTATCAAAGCACATTAATAGAAAGTTATGTGGAAGGGAAAAGGGTGGAAGAAAAGGGTGCAGAAGCAGCAGGGATGACCACAGCCTGGAGAGGATTGTCAGGAAAAGGCCATTCAAAAGTGTTGGGGACTTTCACAAGGAGTGGACTGAGGCTGGAGTCAGTGCATCAAGAGCCACCACACAGAGATGGATCCTGGACATGGTCTTCAAAAGTCATATTCCTCTTGTCAAGCCGCTCCTGAACAACAAATAATGTCAGAAGCTTCTTACCTCAGCTAAAGAAAAACAGAACTGGTCTATTGCTCAGTGGTCCAAAGTCCTCTTTTCTGATGAGAGCAACTTTTGCATCTCATTTGGAACCCAAGGACCCAGAGTCTGGAGGAAGAATGGAGAGGCACACACTGCAAGATGCTTGAAGTCCAGTGTGAAGGTTCCACAGTCTGTGTTGGCTTGGGGAGCCATGTCATCTGCTGGTGTTGGTCCATTGTGCTTTATTAAGTCCAGGGTCAAAGTCTACCAGAAGATTTTGGAGCACTTCATGCTTCCTTCCACAGACGAACTTTATGGGGATGCTTACTTCATTTTCCAGCAAGACCTGGCACCTGCCCACAATGCCAAAAGCACCAAAACCTGGTTCAATGACCGTGGGATTACTGTGCTTGATTGGCCAGCAAACTCGCCAGCACACTGACCTGAACCCCAGAGAGAATCTATGGGGCATTGCCAAGAGAAAGATGAGAGACATGAGACTGAACAATACAAAAGAACTGAAGGCCACAATTGAAGCATCCCGGTCTTCCATAACACCTCAGCAGTGCCACAGGCTGATAGCTTCCATGCCACGCCACATTGAGGCAGTAATTGCTGCAAAAGGGGCCCAAACCAAGTACTGAGTACATATGCATGCTTATACTTTCCAGAGGTCCGATATTGTTCTATGTACAATCCTTGTTTTATTGATTACATGTAATATTCTAATTTTCTAAGATTATGGATTTGGGGTTTTCATGAGCTGTAAGCCATAATCATCTCAATTATGACAAATCACGGCTTGAACTGTCTTGCTTTGCATGTAATAAGTTATCTCATATATTAGTTTCACCTTTAAGTTGCATTACTGAAATAAATGAACTTTTGCAAAATATTCTAATTTTTTGAGTTTTACCTGTATAGTAGAATTTTGTGAGTTATCCCTTTTAGAGTTTGTTTTGTTGCTTATATATAATGCATTATAATTTGTAGATATTTTTGAAGTTCATTGTGCAAGTTAGATGTTTCATATAGAAAATAAATTGAGAAATCAAAATGGGGGGTACACTTGTATGTAATTACATACACATACATACTGTATGCATATATGTGTGTGTGTGTGTATCAGAATAAGATAGATAGACAGATACTATAGATAGACAGACAGATAGATATAAATAGATTGAACTATGACAGATTTGGGTAACAATTCTTTAAATTAATTTCTTTATGCTACGTTTTTACAGTACTGTCCCCAACCTTTCTGACACCAAGGACCGGTTTTGAGGAAGACATTTTTTCCACAGACCGGAGGTGGATGGTTTTGTGTAAAATCTAGATCACATGCATGCTCAGATGAATCTTCATTTGCTCAGGGATTGGGTCCCTCCCAGATATAGCATCTACTAAAACACTTAATCTGATACAAAGATATATTAGAGTGTTTGTCATAAAGCAAGCAGTTTGCATGGAGGATGGCTAGAACTGTCTTGAGACTTCAGTAGCTGTACACAAAATGTTAGAAGATGAGAACCCCCCCCCCCCATGGAAACCTTGCAAGAGTTCATATCTTACTTTTTTCTGAAAAGGTTCTATTACACAGGAGTAATAGAAAGGAGTTGATGATAATTTACCATTCTGTTACACAATTGCAATTAAAATCAAGCATCCAAGAATTATATGACTAGTTTAAAATTTTAATCCTAGTATGTCAAGCCACCAAGAGTTATTTGATGATTGAAATAAATACAAGAATTAATAAACTTTTGAGGAGCATGCTTTTGGGCATGGTTCCACTCTTATATTTTTATGTCCTTTGGAGAGTACAGTACATTTAAATGTTTTGAAAAGAATACATAGGCTTCAGAGAAGGCAGATGGGAAGGCGAGTGTACCTCATATTTTCTACCTTCTATGGTGAATCACTTATTGAAGTTCTAAACTGCATTTCAATGTAAATCTCAAGGAATTTTTGATAAGATTCCTAAATGTGCTTGAGTTACAAAGTGGCACAACAGTTGAGCTGGCAAGCTGCTATTCGAAAGTAGTTGGGTTGGCAAGGCAAAAAACTTAAACCACACACACACACACACACACACACACACACACAAGATTGTGAAACCTCAATTTCCATTTGAGATGAATGGATTCTGTAATTCCTGTTTCTCTTTTAAATTAGAGTATATCACTTGCAGTGATGTTATGTGGACAAGGCAAATATTGTCATTTGTGTCATTTGTTCACTGATACAAACTATGTCATTTGCATAATGACCATGTAAACTTCATTTTTTGCTTTAGCAAAGTTTTTTGCTTTTATGGTATTTTTCTACATTCCTTCACCATAATTTAAAATAATAAATTTTCAAATAATAAGATCAAAAGCAAGAGCTTGGTTAATATAGGAGAAATAAAGGAACCATTTTACATCCATATCATTGTTTGGTAGATATGTTGTAAATTGCTGGCAAATCTACATCTTAGAATGAAGTTAAAATGAAAAATTACAATATGGAGACATAATTTGTGACATTCCTTAGAGCTCTGCCTTTATGAATATGCAAATCTATATTACATACACCAAAAATGCTATGTATGTCAGGTTCTAGGTAGAAACAATATATTTTGAAAACTGCACAAGCGGAAAGAAATAGTATAGATCCTAATTAATAGTGAAAAAGATGCTTAGAAGAAAATATTTGTTTATCAGCAGACATTTCATAATGGCCGGAGGTGAAACAGTCATTGAAAGACAGCTTTGCACAGGAACTTCAGACATCCTGTTCCTTGATGTATGGTTGTTATCTTTTAAGAACAAGAGAGTTTAATGAAGGAAGGCCATTAGAAATGTTGCAATAAGAACGTGTGCCACTGCCCATGATTTGTTTCTCAGCAGGACAGTATGCTTCCTTTGTGGGTACTACAACATCCTCTTTCTAAGAAGAGGTTTTGGGGTTGGTTTGTTTTTTGCAGAATATCAATCAAACAGCTGTCATGCTGCAAATTTAGATAAAGCATTTTAAAGCATGGCCTTTTGAAGCATAACTTCTCCTTTTCTGAAGTCCATCAGACTATTAGAATTTGAATGGTTTGTACAACAGATTGCAACCTTTACTGAAACTAAATATTAATTGGTTGGGATATATATGCCTTTAAAATGATTTGAAAAGGGTTTATTGGAAAGTAGCATATCTTTAAAATAACCATGTATTTTTTTTTAGGCTTCCATATGAACTTGAAAATTATGTTGCTGCTTGTTTGTGTTAAAGATGCAGTTATTTTAACTCATTAAAGCAGCCACGTAATTCTTCAGAGACATGTAGAAGCCCACAAAAGGCTTTTCTTAGGGGTGCTATGTTTCCATTCCTATCCCTTCTGAAGCATCTCCAAAACTTTTTCAAGCAAGTATAGCATTTACTTTACTTTGAAAGGCAAAGTACCATCATATATTTTGGAAGAGTAAATGGAATATTATTTTTTTAAAAAAAGTTTTTTATTTTAACAACAAACAAAACAACATAAGACATACAACATAAAACATAAAAACATCATCCTTCTTCATAAATTTACAAACAGTGTATTGGTTGGTTTACCACTTTTTTTGTGCATCCATTTCCTAAACGCTAATATAATTATATTACATAATAACTCATATTATCAATCAATAATTGTATAACCCAATATCATCACTAAGAAATCGTTTATCTATAATTTTGTTAACTCATACTTTAACGAGATAACTATAATTTACTTAATTTATTTTGCAATAAATCATAAGATCATACCAAATCTATCTTAATAAAGTTTTATAAAAATAATATCAAAAAAAATAATAATTATATCCTACATCTAAATGTTCTATTATTATGAAACATTAATTTTTTTGTGCAAAGAGTTTTACAGTGCAAAATTATAGTAGTTGGAGCCAAATCAGGAATAGTAGCTGGGTTCTCTGAATGCATTAAACCATATTTTATATCACCCATAATCTTGGATAAGGCATGATTGCCTAGCTCCTGAATAAACCATTGTTTACAACCACTGAGACTAGATTTACATATTCTGGGAAGCAATTTTTTTAAAAAAAGTCTTAGAACAGTGGTCACCAGCCAGTGGGCTGCAAGAAAATTTTGGTGACAAATGTCACCCCCCCCAAAGCACCCCCCAAAGCAATTAATCCAGGCTGCGTGTGAACACAAGGCTGCGCTGCCTACATGGCCCATGGGAACACAAGGCTTGTGTTGCAAACAACATGAGATAGTGAGGGGAAGGGGGAAAGGGCGGAGGGGGGGAACTTGCCCCATGTGGCTCATCTGGCCACCAGGCTGCTTCTTTCTGCTTCTTCTGCTTTTGGCTGCATGCAAGGAAAGCAGCAAAAGTCTTTCTTTCTCTCTCCCAAACTCTGCCAGAAATGAGTCTTTGGGACTCTGCAAGGCATCCTGCTCCAGAAGGCTATGCCGGCAAAGATTTATTTCTGGCGGAGTTTGGGGGAGAGAAAGAAAGACTTCTGCTGCCTTCCTTGCATGAAGCCAAAAGTCAGTCAGTCAGACAGTCTCTCTTTCTTTCTTCCCCCCCCCTCTCCTTCTCTCCAACATCAGCAAGCCACTGTCAGTCAAAATTCATATTAGTGGTCCATGGGATTTAAAATTATGAGTTTGGTGGTCCCTGAGGTCCAAAAGTTTGGCGATCCCTGTATTAATTCAGAATACATTCCGGGCAAACATCTGCTTCCAAAAAGATTTTTGGAACAAACCTATGTATTTAATCTTGTAAATAAATGGGTATTTCATATTAAATTCAAATATACTGTAGTTTCACCAATATAAACTTCATATTTGAGAATCCTGTGACGTAGTTTTTGACAATTGAGGAAAATCCTTTTGATGAAGATGGAATGATACTTGTCAGGTGCAAACAAACCAGACCTACAGCTATAGAGTTCAAACTAGCGATGTACTTTATTGTTCTATGCCTCTAATACAGGAATCTCCCCAAACGTCTAGCTTTTGACTGCGAAAGACTGGATAAGGCTCAAAGGCATTTGGGGGAGGGGGGGGTCAGACCTAGCCCTCCTGTATTTATATAGCGAGTCAAGGCTAATTCCCCACTTCGGCCTCCTGCCAGCTGGGATGGTTACTCTCCAACAATGACTGATTTTTAAAGGTGTTAATAAAATGTTATTCTTTTTCAAAGTGATCTGATTTTAGCAATAGAAGAGTAAGCTGCAAGAAGCCTTATGCATACATGCTTCACATCTAAAAGTCTAGCATAGTTATGATCAATTCAGAAGCTTTTGCATGCTCTTTTATAGTAATCATTGTTTAATATTTACCCAAATAAATTGTGGTTAATATTCATGGCTGCAGTACTGGAGAAGTGGAAAGCACTAATCATGTTAGTGTAATGATCAAAATCAGGGTTTTACTTTCTTCTGTGTCAGTAGTAAATTATATTTTTTTGCTGTTTGCTTATTTTAAGGGGATATAATTTTTAATGCTCACTATCCTGAGTTGCCACCTGACTTTATCTTTGGAGAGGATGCTGAATTTTTACCTGATCCTTCTTCCTTACATGTGAGTATATTTTGCTGTCATTTTGTCAGTTCAATTGCTTTACTTTTAAACTGTGGCCCTAAATTTTAGAATAAGCTTTAGATGAACTGCAAAGCTGATCTATTCCATTAGAATAGATCAGCTTTGATTTATTCGAATGGAATAGAATTTGGTTAGATATATTATGTGTTTTAACTGTATTATGCTATTATGCCATTCTACAAGTTGATATTTAGTTGTTAATCACTCTTGAGATTTTTATTTTACTGGGAAATAAACAAGATTGGATACTCAGAAACAGTTTTGTCTTTCGTGAGTACATGAACATTATTTTACACTTTTTGTCCATTGTTTTAATTAATTTACTAGTTTTATATCTGATCTGAGCAGGTCTGGATGGCTAACACAATATAAATATTCTATACAATGCAGTAACAGAATATAGAAATAAGACGTATTTTAAAAATGTCAGTCAAGAACAACCCAGTCAATAAGAAATTCATTTAACTCACAGGTTCAAACCCTTCCTAAATTCCAACGCTTCTCTTTCCAGAAAGAAAAACTAGATCTTAAAGGGCTTAGCAAAAGCTCAGAAGGGTTGAAGCTAATCTAATCTTGGGAGAAATGGTGTTTCATAGATCAGGCATTGATACAGAACAGCACACTTCCTGAGTCTGGCCAAATAATATTCCTTAACTGATAGCATGGAATGGAGACAATTGGAGAAGGGTAACTTGGCCTTATGCCAGAAAGGTGTCCTGTAGAGCCAAATTATTTTAATTGCACATGAAAGCTTGTTGGCATCCAATGCAACTTGGAGAGCAAAACTGTTAACTGGGCATATTGTGGTATGTCCATAGCTGCTCTTGATGCTGCATTCTGGATCAATTGCAGCTTCTAAATGTTCTTCAGGGGCTGTTTCAGGTAGACCGTATTGTGGTATTCTAGTTGGGAGGTGACCAATGCATGGGTCACCATCAGTGGTGGGTTTCAAAAAAATTTCTTACTGGTTCGAAGAGCTCGCTATGTGTGTGTGCATGCGTGCATGCATGTGTGTGTGTGCACGCATATAAATTGTGTGTGTATGTATACACACACACACACACACACACACACACATATTTAAAATATATAAATAATAATTTTACTCAGTTGTTGACCATAAATCAAACCTGACCTTGCAATTCTGGTTTCAGAATATTGGTGGGTAATTAATATACCAAATGAATATATTTGAGAGAACATTACTCATTGTCATAAATTTGTATTTAACATATGGAACTGTGCTTCATAGTGTTCTTTAAAATGAATATTAAAACAATTTTAAAAATATGTATACATATGGCTTCATGGTGGAGAGGTACAATATTTCATATTTAAAAATTATTAGATATCTTTAATCAAATTATAATAATGAAAAATAAGAGGCAATCAAAAATCAGCAAAAGCCATAGTTTATAAGTTAACACTGCATTGGATAAATGAAGTATCTTGACTTGATGCAAAAAATATAATGTATTAGTCACACATCACAAGAGAAGTAATTTCAGAGCTGAAGCACCATCACAAAAAATATTTTCATTTATTTAATGCTATGTATTAGAAGTATTTACTCAAGCAACATCGCCTTTAATTGTTACATATTGTAGAAAGAAACATGGTCAGAATAAATTTACAATTGCACTTTAACATTCTGTTTTCTTTCTTGCAAAAATTTCAAGTAACTATCACAACTGCAATTTAATTAGAAGGCAGTGATTCAATAGTCTTCAACCATGCTTTCTATACAAAATAATACTATCCCTATGTATGTTTTGTAGTGGCAAATCTAATACATTTGTGGCATCTCCTGTTTCAAGCTGTTAGAATATACATTTTCAAAGGAGAAAGAAGTACTTGTAAATTTGACTGATTAGTCAGTTATTTAAAACTATTCTAATTTTCCATCCTGTTTTAATTCATAATGTCTGTTTGAAACAGAAATTCCATTCTTGAACAGCAGTTCTAACTTTATCGTTGTGAATATGAATGGGTGGCAATATAAATCAAATATTACTTTGAATGGCACTTTTGTAATTGGAAAAGAAATAGGGGAATATTAATTACAAGATATGACTTCCTGATCAGTAAATTTTACCTTCACTAGAAGCAACTTTTAGATAAGCATACTTAGTTCTGAAAAAGTTTGTATCAGGTTATGAAAGTACTGTAGATACTACAATACCAGCATACTAGTGATTCTATATAATTCATCAAGGTAATTTAAATAGCTTATTTTTAATGCTGAAGAATGTACAATAGAGATTCAATTTTGTTTTCATATATTAAATAAGGTAACCATTTGACAAGGTAACCATGTCAAAAGTTAGTGTTGATTTCAAGTTATTTATTGATGCAGCTGCTTGCAAATACAGTATCTGTAGCTTTCATACTGGATAATTTTAAGGGCATATTGATCATGATTTGCTGTCCTACAGTTGCTAATTAAATGCTACCATAGTCACAGGCAATATTACTTCACTCTGATTTTCATTTTCTCCAGATTTCCTAATGTTGCCTCTAGCCCTGTTATGCAAATTTCTGGAGCAAGGAGAAAATGGTTCATTTAAAAAAATCATATTTTCTTTCAAAGGGAACCTCTAGTTTGTGGAATTCTGCTCTCTACAAATTTGTGGCCAATCCCTAAGATATTTTAAGTGTATACTTTTAAAATGTGAATAAACTTTGACACTTGTGCACTAGACACAGGTGGAAAAAATGGAGACAATTGAATGTAGCTGAAAATGTTAATGATGACTAAAGTTAAGTTTGTGTGTTTTTTTATGTGTAGTAGTAGTACTTCATAATATTTAAATAAAACTTTTATAGCCTAAGCTCACAAATAATTTTGTATTTTACTGGCATACTGAAATTGTACCCTTTTTTTAATCAGTGAAGATAAGCTCTACTTTAATATTAGTCACTCTGAAGGGCTTGATATCTTGTATTTCTTGACATTTATTTTCCTTGTCAATTACTGCACTTAATTCTTCCTCCTAAAAATATGAAAGTACACTAACTGAAGATCTTGCTGTTTTCTGTAGTGTAGCCAGGAAAAACAGTAGCAAGCTGTCTTCTTCAAAGTCACGTTTCTGGAAGATATTCCAGCAACCTGGATGCTTAAGCACATTCTTAAGAAAAACAAGCTCCATTTAATTAAGAAACTATTTGCTTATTCTCTTATTGACAAGTCTAACTTGCTTCTTATTCTGACTTTTCTTAGTTGTAGAAACTGGTCATACCATAGAAATATTATCCTACCGTGTTTCTCACAAAATAAGGCCGGGCCTTATTTTTTTCTGGTCCCTGAAGAAACGGCTAGGCCATCTTTTCGGGGGTGAGTTAATTCCCCCCCTTGCATCCTCGGGTGGGCAAGCGGCAACAGCTTGGATGTTGACCTCGGCGTTGGTGGGGCACTTCGTATCGGGACACCTTCCGTCACCGTTGCTTTCCCTTCTCCCTTGCTGCTGTGGCGTTTAGAGCAACACCGCGGTGTTTGGCACAGCCACGTGCGGCCAGCCAGGGCTCCTCCCTGCAACCGGAGCCCGGCGGAGACACTCGGCTTCAGGCGCTCCTGCCGCCTTCCCTTTGCTTTCGAAGGTAAAGCCAATTATTTTAAAAATGACGCCCAACTACAACAAAACCTCCCCTGCCCGAGAGGGCAGCCCAACCCCACATGGGGAGGCGAATCTCCCGGGGCCGCAGCGCAGGATCGGCCCAGCTCGGGAGAAGCGCCCAGCTGCCATCCCTGCCTGGCACCGGGCAGAGCGCGAAGAGCTTCACCTGGGGCGCCCAGCACAGCTGACAGGCGGGCCCTCCTGCCCGGCAGCAGAGCTCTCACCAAGGCAGCGAGCGCCTCCCCGCCAGACCCTCCACTTATCCCGCCAGGGCTGCTCCAGAGCCGTGCAGAGCCGTGCAGGCTGAGCAAAGCCAGGAAAGTGAGCCATGGATGCGCGCCTGCCTGCCAAGCAAAAGAGCTGGGCCGATCTGAGTTTGGCTTCCTTCCCAAGTCCCTCCAGTGCGAACCCGAAGGTGCCACCGGGAGAGGCTGCCCAAGGCAGTGATAGCACCTACCCGTCCACGGACAGGGAGGCGAGGTGATGGCAGCGCTGCTTCCCTGGCCATCAGAGAGAGCCCGAAGCTCCCCATCCTTTCCACCCCTTGCCCATCCCATCCCCATCCCCACGCATCTCCAAATGCGCCGGTAGCTCCAAACGCTGCAGTGGAACGGGCATCAGGCAGAGGCGCTGACTCGGCAGGGCTCAGCTCGAAGGAGGACGCGGCGCAGGCCGTCGCCTTGCCTCCCTGTCCACGGATGGGTGAGCGCTATCACTGCCTCGGGCAGCCTCTCCTGGTGGCCCCTTCGGGTTCGGGCTGGAGGGACTTGGGAAGGAAGCCAAGCTTGGGTCGGCCCGGCTCTTTCGCTTGGCAGGTGGGCGCGCACCCTCGGCTTGCTTTCCCAGCTCTGCCCAGCCCACACAGCTCTGGCACTAGAAGAAATGGGGGTGATCTTACATTACAAAATATTTGAATGAAACAATATGTGCAGCATTTAAAATGAAAAAATTACACAAATTAATAAACTGTTCCCTGCACTGTGTGATCCTTTTCTTTTTTGCCCAAGTTGCGAATGCATTGTCTTTCTTTAATATTAACTTATAAAATCGTGTGTACAGATTACTTCCTGGAAGTATACTCGTTTGAAGGCATGTGGTAAAGACAAGAAAACTGTCTTCCATCATACTGCCTGAAACGTGCCAGGAAATAAGGTAGTCATCTGCATGATGCTTCTGCCAGTTATATTGCCATATCCTTGTGGTGCCACACAATCAGTGATACCATATTTTTCTATGATTAAGATATGAGAATGATCTCTAATACAAGTGGGTTTACTCATCTAGCTGGAATACTGATTTGGCAGAACTGTATCTTAATATTGACTTCTGCTACAGAATTCTAGTATAAGTAATTAAGAATATATATTTTAAGGATTTGTTTAACAAAATAAAATGTGGAAAGTATTTTGTGGCCCACAACGTTGACATGTAAGGCTTCTATACAAAGCTTGGAGAAAAATGATAAAGGCAGAAAATATTTTGAAAAGTTAGCTTAAGTAATATACCTTCCTGCAGCTCAATAATACGTGAGTATTTATGGGGAATAAAAATATCTCTAGAGAAAAAGTTTAAAAATTGATTCTATCTGTTGCAGGTTTTATGACTGTGTTAACATAGAATGGATATATTAAATTGCCCTGGATAATTTGCCACTTGTTAAATTTTCGTTGTGACTTTTCTGCTAAGGATTTGGGGAGGGGAAAGAGATTTAAACATCTATTTGGCTTTAGAAGTAAATTTAGTTAAAATTGGTCATGTCTAAATTTAATGAATCTGACAAAATTCAGCTTTCATACAACATTTAAAACTTCTTGAGAAGAACAAAGAAGTCATTTCAGGTGACTAAATGACTCAGGTTTTTCTTTTGTTTATTTAATGTCATGTGAGTGAAGTTCCTCAAGCTCAATAATACTTGGGAAAAATTATTTTATTGTATAGAATAGTTAGTAAAATCTTTACTAACATCTTTAACAAAAGTGACATAATACATAAGATAATTATGGGAGAAAGGTTATTTCCATTTCTTATTGAGTGTGAATGTCAGCAGGCATGAATGTTAAGCTTTCAGCTTTTCAGAACAGATGAAAAGGTATTTACTTAAAACCTGATAAAATAAATGGAAGTATGCATATCTTGATTCTAATTGTGTAATGCAAGGGTTTTTTTAAAAAAAGAACACCGTCTATACTTCAGAAAGGTGGAAAACTTTTCTGTTAAACTATTTTACAAGTCTAATAATAGATGATTGATAATGAGTTTAATCTTAATTCAATATATATCAGATACCAAATCATTTGTACTTTCCCAGCTGTTCAAGGTACAAATATCCAAAGTCCATATGTAAGTTAAATATCTCACAAATACATGTGTAAAACTGGAATGCACAAGATTTTTCTAGACAAAGATTCTTAACCTCCAAAATCCACATTTTGTAAAAGGAATGAATTGAGATAGAACAAAAACTTAAATTTCGTATAAATCATTTATATTTACAGGTGAGTGAAATTAAATATAGTTGTGGGGACAACACACACACACACCCCCGTGTATTAGAAAATCAAAGTTTGTAAGTTTTAGATAGCTGAAAAAGCATTTATAGATAGTTTGAGATCTTTGGGATCTTAGATTGTGTTCCTTGGATTTAAAAAAAAAGATTGAGAAATAAATGATAGCACAAAACGGCCTATATAATTATGGGTAGAATTTGTTGACAAAGTGAAAAACAGCTGACAGAATTCAGCTAGAGTTAATTGATAGGATGAAAATAGACAACAGAGGACAGAGAATAAGTTTATTTGGTTCAGGAGTTAGTTAAATAAAAGAACATTATAGGGTGTTGGTGGTGATAGAAGGGAATCTTTGTTTTGATTGAAACACTTTTGAGGGTATTACAGGAAATACCATGAGGCTGATCTTCATCAAAGCTATTGCTTCACTGGCCTTTAAATAAAGACACTGGTGATAGCTTTTCCAGTTCAGTAGCTGGCCAAAGCAAGCAGCCACTTGAATTTCAGTTGAGAGTATTGTAAAATCTTATTTTTTTATGTTAAGAAGTTATGTTGCGGTTGAGTACTCCAAAGGTAAGGATCAAAATGGTCCATACAGTTGGCCTTGAGTTATGATGGGAAGTGGGACCAAAATTTCTGTAGTGGGGCTCCCCAGGTGAAAAAGGAGAGGAGCAACTTATGGGAATGTCTTGCAACTTTATCTGCTGATTTCCCCACTGACTTTGCTTGTGGAAAGTTTCAAATAGCGATTGTGTGGCCAGTTCACTGTGATATATTGTGAACTGGGCATCTAAGTACCCAGATAGCAATCGCATGACTATTGGACCACTGCAATGGCCACAATTTCATGGTGTGATCATAAGTCCCCCTTGTTCAGCACTGTCGTAATTTTGAATGATTGTGAGTATGAGGTTGTAACTTGAGTTCTATCTGTGAATCAAACTGACAGTGCATTGCATAGGTTTCTACCTTTTTGTGCACCTTCCAAATTTATAAAAAGAGTAGTCTTTTATATATTATTAGATTATGGGAGCAAATAATGGGCTAGATGATCTGAATTTACTGGGTTAAATGATGTATATCTGTGACCAGATACAAAGAATAAGAAATCTATAGATATGTCACAATATATAGCCTTGTTTGCCTTGATATTCCCCATATTTTCCCGCTTTAAATTTTTCCCCCTCTACCAAAATTTTGAATAGAGAAATATAAGAGTGGGTTCTTACACTGATGTAGCTAGTAACAAAGATAAGTGAGGACTGCTTCACTTTCTCAGAGGAGATTGGCATCCATTCCGGTGCACTGACAGCACAGGAGTAAAAAAAGGAAAATCTAATGGTTTTGAATTTCTTATATATAGGATCTGCTAATATTCTAACCTTCAAGGAGGATGCAGTATAAATCCTATCTCAGTTTGTTGAGAGAATTTGATGGCCCAAGTTAGGCTGAGCACAAATCTGTGTCAGAGAATTTAAAATACTAGGTGTGTCACTTTTCCCCCCTGTTGTGCTTGTATTTCTTCACCAAAAGAGAAGGAAAATATTGCCAAGGCTCAGTGTTTTTATTTTTATTTTTTTTACCTAGTGTACCACAACTGAAAGATCCATCAGTTTCAGTGATAACAATTATATTGATTCTCTAGCAAATAAAAGAGCATTCAAGTTGATCAGTGGTCCAAATCTCACTTTGGACAATGCAAATACAATTACATTTCATGATTCTTGTGTTAACTTGTCTCTTGATTGAACAGAATTTGGCCTGCTGGAATCCTTCAAATCCTGAATGCCTCCTGCTTGTTGTAAAGGAACTTGTACAACAGTATCACCAGTTTCAATGCAGCAGATTACGTGAGAGCTCCCGGCTCATGTTTGAATATCAGACATTACTTGAAGAACCTCAGTATGGAGAGAACATGGAAATTTATGCTGGCAAAAAGAACAACTGGGTAAGAGTACAATAACAGAAGAGTAGTACTAGAGATTCCTTTCCATAGTAACTATAACCTGATTTGGAGGAGATGTTTGTCCTAGGTGTGTATTTCTTAAAATAGATGTCCTCATTTTACCGTTGTTTCTTTTCTCCCTTCCTGCTGTTTAGCAATTTTATTACATTACCTTGTTTGAACTTGTTGCCTAGGTAAACAACTATGGCTAACAGTTATGTGAAATTGAAGATTATGAATGCAGTAAAGCACTGACTTCTCACTGATCTTACCATTTAATAAGTATTTTTATTCTAATTAAATACATTTTGCAAGTTTAAATAAAATGTAAGAGTTCCTAGCTGGAAATGCTTCCTTCTCTTTCCAATAAAAGAGACAGTTTAAAAAGTAGCAACAATACCTGCTATTCAGATGCTGCCCTCCAGTTTTCAGGGTAATTCGTAGGAGAATTGTCTGAATGAGTTGCAGATTGCATAGTAACGTGCTGTATACCATTGTGAAATAGCATACAGCATGTAAGAATAAAATAATTGAAAATGATTCTGGGTATTTATTTATTTATTTATTGTAAGCAGAAATTTAAACAGAACAGAAATCTGTTTGTTTATTTATTAAATTTAGAAACTGTCCATCTCACTCACAGAGGGACTCTAGTTTCAGTAAGTAGATAAGATCAGAATTCTCAATTTCTGGTTCAGTAACTCCTTAAAATGATGTATCAAATTGTGGACTGCTACAATGGATAAAATGATTTTATTATATTTATATATGATTTATGTTTAATAATTAAATTTTTGCTGCATATTCAATAAAACAATTTTAAATAAAAATAAAATAAAAATTATTAGAAATAAATTATTAAACAGTTAAATTTAAAGTAGTATTTTTAACATGGTAAGCTTATGCATATCTGCATAATTTAAGGTTCCACACAAAGTCATTATCCTGTGACAGAGGAAAAAATGTTGACTCCTGCCTAATTCATTAGAATACAGGTTGTCTTCAACTTAGGACCATTTGTTTAATGATATTTTAAAGTTACCATGGCCTCAGAAAAAGTGATTTATGACCTGTACCAAAACTGATGACCATCACACCACCTCCCCAATTTAGTACCTTTATTGTCAATTTCCAGCCCCCCCCCAAAAAAAATCCGTTGGGAAAGCTGGATTTGCTTAATGACTTCATGATTCGCTTACTGATAGCTGTAAAAATTGTCATAAAATGAGTCTTGACTTATGACAACAATGATGGAAATTCTGGTCCCAATTGTGTCAAGGACTACCTGTATTAGAAGTATAAAAGGGAATGTTTAGGCTTTCAAGATGGTATTACTATAGTCTATATCAGTGGTCTCCAACCTTTCTGGCCTGGCAGACTGCTGGTGGTGGGGTAGGGAGGGAGAGGGGATGGTTTCATGCACGCTGCTTTTACAAATGCAGCTTTGCGCACATGCTCGCCCATCACTTCCATGGCCTGGTTCCAAATGGGCTACGGCCCTGCACTGGGCCACAGACCAGGGGTTGGGTTGGGGACCCCTGGTCGATACATCAGTAAAGTATACTTTGAGTCAGATTTGTGGAGTTTGCTTCCTGACTTGCATAACTTGAGGGGCGTACAGTCTGGTCTAAATGATTCTTTTGTTGAATGGCCAAAGTTATGAATTAAATGAATTATAATATGCAGCACCTGGTGTGACTAAATTGGTAATGATTTGGCTAAAAGTGTCTGGTGTCTTTCCAAAATAATATAACAATAGAATTGTCTCGCTGTATGATGGAGCTGATCATCCGCCCTTGTTTCTTCACAATGTGTAATAATCTGTGAATGCGGTGATCCTTATATAGTGATTAAAAAAACTGACTCCTCATCAGTTAATCCTTTTATAAAACCTGTATAAAACAGTAGCATATGAGATTCAATTTAATTAGAACAATTAAATAAAAATTGTTGAAATAGCGCAAGGGTTGCAAGGGTATTTTTTTCACGAAGTCTCATAAAATTCAAGGGGGGAATGCAAAATCTCAAAAGTTTTCAGTGTCATATGAGTCGTAGGAGGTTTCAGGAATTAAATCTTGTGACATGATAGCAGTGTTCCAATATCTCAGAGGCTGCCACAAAGAAGAGGGAGTCAAGCTCCCTCCAAAGCACCTGAGAGCACGTCAAGAAGCAATGGGTGGAAACTAATCAAGGAGAGAAGCAACTTAGAACTAAGGAGAAATTTCCTGACAATTAGAACAATTAATCAGTGGAACAACTTGCCTCCAGAAGTTAAGAATGCTCCAACACTGGAAGTTTTTAAAAAGGTGTTGGATAACCATTTGTCTGAAATGGCGTAAGGTTTCCTGCCTAGGCGGCGGGTTGGACTAGAAGACCTCCAAAGTCCCTTTCAACTCTGTTATTCTACATTCTAAATTACATCAGTTACTATTTGGTTCTTTCAAAAAAAAGTGTCTTTGTAGTACTGATACATCTGCTGAAACTGGAAACAAAGTCCCCACAAGATCTGAATTCCATTAGTCCCGAGTTTAGGAGTTCATACATAATGATCACTATAATTGGAATGTGGGAATGACATAATTAAGAGATAATCTTGCTATAATTGGCGTCTACTTCCTGCAGACACCTTGCCTGTTGTGTGATTAGCTTTTAGTGTGTTACACAACTCTAAAAGTTCAGTCTATTTCAATTATGTCTCTGGATTATTAGGAATGCAAGTGCTCAATTGAATATTAAGGTCCTTTTTTCTATTCTTTCAAATTAATAGACTGGTGAATTTTCAGCTCGGTTCCTTCTGAAATTGCCAGTGGACTTCAGCAATATCCCTACCTACCTTCTCAAGGTAAAATAATTCTTTATTATTTGAGCTACCACTTTCTTCAAAATAAATGAATTCCAATGCCTCCTGTTTTTTTCTGTAATTCCTTTCCACCTTTCTTCTTTTTTAAACTTTTCTCCCATTCTTTGAAATTTAATAAAACTGGTTCAACACTTCTGCATCTTTCTTTTGTCTGCACTGTTTATTTTCAGATGCCTTATCTTGCAAAAATTGAATTCAGTTTCAGAATAAGTGATAAGCATTACGTGTAACTTTCCCTAAAAAAATCCTTCAGTAGTTATTAAACATGATATTTAATATACAAATAGATTTAAATGATTCTGTTTAAGCCTTTGAAACTTTGTCAGTGAGTTAACAAGCTAACTGAGGAGGAAGTACACATAGGAACTTTTTGGTAGTTAGGAAAGTTGTTGAATTCAAGCCAGAGACATAGATGCTATGAGGTTGTTAAATTCTTTTTAGGGAAATGAAAAATGAATATATAGTGTTCACATACGGATTAAATTCTGCTATGTCAAATGTGCTGATATGAAGGGAAAGCATGGCTATATCTAAAGGAAAAGATAACATCTCCTGTATGTAACTTCTCAGTGTACCTATCTATACACCCAAACAGTAAGAATGTCTTTGAAAATGCTAAAACAGCATAAACTGTCTTTACCAATATAAGTAGAACAGCATGGTATAAATTTAATTATAAATAATAGAATATAAATATACAAGGAATCAGCAATATTTTAGGAACTAAATCCTAAGTAATAGAAGGAGAAAGATGAAGTATTTTATTAAATATTATTTTTTATTATTAACAAGTTGCAGTTTTACATCCACTTTTCCAGATTAAGCTCTTTTAAACTGATTAATCTGTACCATTCAGTAGGGTTCTGTGTATAGTTGTGTGTGTGTAAGGGGAAGGGACATTGTGTTGCTAAAATGTATTACAGAAACTCATACCTGTGTATATACTGAGTTAGCTATGTCTTACATTTACCTCAATTATCACTACTATAATTTTCTTGACAAACATTATTCCTTCTACTTTTCATGAATAGAATAGAATAGAATTCTTTATTGGCCAAGTGTGATTGAACACATAAGGAATTTGTCTTGGTGCAAATGCTTTCAGCGTACATAAAAGAAAAGATACGTTTGTCAAGAGTCAAGAATCATAAGGTACAGCACTTAATAACAATCATAGGGTACAATAAGCAATCAAATCATACTAGGAAACAGTCAATATAAATCGTAAGGATACAAGGAACAAAGTTACAGTCCTACAATCACAAGTGGGAGGGGATGGGTGGTAAGGAGTGATGAGAAGATTAATAGTAGTGCAGACTTTGTAAATAGTTGGACAGTGTTGAGGGAATTATTTTTTTAGCAGAGTGATGGTGTTCAGGGAAAAAACTGTCCTTGTGTCTAGTAGTTCCGGTATGCAGTGCTCTGTAGCGTTGTTTTTAGGTAGGAGTTGGAACAGTTTGAGAGGAGTCTGTAAATATTTTCACGGCCCTTTTTTTGACTCGTGCTTTATACAGGTCCTCGATTGAAGGTAGGATGGTAGTAATTGTTTTTTCTGCAATCCTAATTATCCTCTGAAGTCTGTGTCTGTCCTGTTGGGTTGCAGAACCAAACCAGACAGTTATAGAGGTGCAGATGACTCAATTCCTCTATAGAACTGTCTCAGCAACTCCTTAGGCAGTTTGAGCTTTCTGAGTTTGCGCAGAAATAACATTCTTTGTTGTGGGTTTTTTGATGTTAGGTGACCATTTTAGGTCTTGTGATATGATAGAACCTAGAAGTTTGAAGATCTCTATTGTTGATACTGTGTTGTCTGGTATTGTAAGAGGTGGCAGTATGGGAGGGTTTCTTCTAAAGTCTACCACCATTTCTACGGTTTTGAGTGTGTTCAGTTCCAGATTGTTTAGGTTACACCTCAAGGCAAGTTGTACAATCTGTCTGTATGCGGATTCATCGTTTTCTCGAATGAGACCATTCACTGTTGTATCATCTGCAAACTTCAGTATTTTAACAGATGGATCGTTTGAGATGCAGTCATTGGTGTATAGGGAGAAGAGAAGTGGAGAAAGCACGCAGTCTTTGGGGAGCCCTGTGCTAATTATACAGGTACCAGATGTGATTCTGCCTAGCTTTACCTGCTGCTTCCTGTCTGTGGCAAATGCTTCCTGTCAAGTGGTAAATACTAGTGAATCTTCAGAACTAGGAAAACTATAAATAACTCATACCTCTCTTAGAGACATTTCAGGAAAACATCCATTCACTTCATTCATTATTTTCTATTTTTTTTAACTATCCCCATTCTTGCCAAGCATGATACTTGATATATAGTCCAGCATTTCTTTCATCACTTGCCCAAAGTATTTGAGTTTATTTATGCTCATTTCAATTGAAACATTACTTCGCCTAGGACTGATTGGTTATTTCTTTCTGTGGTCCAGTACTTGTCCAACCTTTGCATTCTGAAATCAGTAAGTAGGTGCAAGTGCACATTGTTAGAACGTTTGTTGTTGTCTTGGTGAGCCAAATCTGTAAAAAATGAATTAGTTTCAACAAATTTTAAATGCAAGCTAATGTTGCTACCATTTGCTTACAGATATTAATTTTCTAGGATGTTTATCAGGGGTAAAAATGAACAGACTTAGAAACAGTGTTTGATCCTCTAACATTTTTGGAAATTAGCTAGAAATATTAAACAGTCAGGTGTGATCCATATCATTAAGAAAACCATTATGCTGAGGGATTGTCACATATTTGAATCTTGTTTACGAATGGAAATTCTGTAGTATGAGAGAGTGAGTTTAATATTATATGTTTTACATGGTCTGAATTGAAGAGGATCTGTTACAATTGCAAATTAATATCTACCAGATCTAAAACCATCAGGCTTTCTAGTTGGCAGAGATACATGTTTTTATGTGTAACATTTTGTATAAATTAATTTTAGTGGAATCTCAAGATTATTTATGTTTTATATTTTAAGACTATAATGGAAAAAAATAATATTTTTCATACTATGTTCACAATACAGTCATAGGTATTACAGTAACTTCCCAAATCTCCAGTTGGCACCTATGGAACATTTAATTTAACTAAAATGAAATATAATCCTTGCAAAATTATCATTCTTATATTGTTTTGCATAAATATTCCAAATATCCACCCCATAATCTTGCTTCTATTTCAATGTGTTAGTTATAGAGACACTTTTTAAAATTTATATTATTCTAATTTTAAAATATTAAGCTGATTGATCACAGAAAAGTTAATATTAAAAAATCTAACAATTATGATATAAAATTGATATAGAAGTATTAGTGATTATTATTGTTAATAAATGTTATCTTTTTAAATATAAAGCTGCGTCTGAAAATAATGAAAAGGAAAGGAATAGTGAACCTGTCAGAAAATCATGACTGGCTGATGTGGACTTTTAATATATTGAAGAGAGTGCTTCTTCCCAGATGTCGTTGAAATGTTAAAAATATGCTTTTCTATGTTAAAAAGTTCCTTTTTAGCTGAGATACAATATCAGTGTTCAGTTTTCTGGAGATTGCAAATAAATAAATGAAGTATGTCAATATGTGTATTGGTTGACTTGACCTTCCATCTTTCCGAGGTCAGTAACAGGAGAACCCAGATTGTTGGGGGCAATATGCTGACATGAAACTGCTTAGAGAGGACTGTAAAGCACTGTGAAGCGGTATGTAAGTCTAAGTGCTATTGCTATTGACTGAAAAAATATAACTGTCAGCCCATTTGAAGCATTCACCCATATACAGGTAGCTGGATTTTTTAAGATGATAATAATATGTATCATGCAAGAAAAAGCCTTTTCTTCTGTTGTCACTTGAGTGATGAAATGTGTGGAAAAGTGACCTAGGTGAGACATTTGGACTTGATATTCAATGTAGTATAGAAAGCAGCAAATAGAGCCATCTCCATTTTATCCTATCAGTTTTATCTCATAAGTTCAGATTTTACTGTCATGATCTTTAAGCAGGCAAGTGGCAAATACTAGTACATCTTCAGAACTAGGAAAACTATAAATAGGATAGATGTTCAGATAGATGTTTAAAACATTGTTTGCCTGAATTTTTCTTCAGTCTAGCTTCTTTGTTGTTAGTCACGAAGTCGTGTCCAACCCATTGCGACCCCATGGATAACGTTCCTCCAGGCCTTCCTGTCCTCTACCCTTCCCCAGTGTCCATTTAAGGTCAAGCCGACTCCATCCAGCCACTCATTCTCTGTCGTCCCATTCTTCTTTTGCCCTCAACCGTTCCCAGCATTAGGCTCTTCTCCAGTGAGTCCTTCCGTCTCATTAGGTGGCCAAGGTATTTAAGTTTCATCTTCAGGATCTGGCCTTCTAAAGAGAAGTCAGGGTTGATCTCCTCTAGGAATGACCTATTTGATCACCTTGTAGTCCAAGGGACTCTCAGGAGTCTTCTCCAGAACCATAGTTCAAAGGCCTCAATTATTTGGAGCTCAGCCTTCCTTATGGTCCAACTTTCACAACCATACATTGCAACTGGGAAAACCATAGCCATGACTATACACACTTTTGTTGGCAGGGTGATGCCTCTGCTTTTTAGTATGCTATCTCGATTTACCATAGCTTCCCTCCCCAGGAGCAAGTGTCTTTTAATTTCCTGGCTGTAGTCCCCGTCAGTGATGATCTTAGAGTCCAGGAAAATAAAATCTGTCTCTACCTCCATTTCTTTCCCATCTACTTGCCAGGAATTGGGAAGGCTGGATGCCATGATCTTAGTTTTCTTAATATTGATTTTCAAGCCAACTTTTGCACTCTCCTCCTTCACCTGTATCAAGAGGCTTTTTAGTTCCTCTTCACTTTCTGCCATTAGTTTCTTTCCTCATATCTTAATAAAAAGCCCCTGTTGTTCATGTATAATAAAAACTTATAGAAATAAAGCGTACGTAATTAGTAAAGATGTGCATCAATAATAATTTATGGGAAAATGAAGGAATAT